TGGCACCATCATTGTAATGGATAATGCAGGAACGGCTCCCTACAGGTTATCACCTCTCCCCTGTGATTCTGCTGTGAGGTAGAGGGAAAAGGGTGGGTGGGTGGATGCTATAGATCTAGGCTTGGTGGAGTGAGGGAGGAAGGGGAAGGGTTCAACCTCCACTGTCTGCCCTTACGTTCCAACAGTCAGACATACTGCAAGCATTGCTTTCTTTCCCACAGCTTCTCAATCTCTATTCTATGAGCCCCTGCCACTGTCACTGGCTCAGTGCTTTCCGTGTGTTGCTTTTACCTTGAGAGATATGCTCGGTCCTCTGTGTCTGCAGATTCTATATCCATGTGTTCAACCAACAACAGATGGGACATATTTTTAAAGATTGGATCCACACTGAATGTGGGTAGAGTTTCTTCTCCTTGCCATTATTCCCTAAACAACAGAGTATCACAGCTACACACAGCATTGGCATTCTTAGTTGTTATCAGTCTTCTAGAAATGGTTCAAAGTATGTGAGAGGGTGTGTACATATTATCTATAAGAACCACACCATTTTATATAAAGAATTTGTGCTCTGACAGATCTCAGTACCTATGAAAGATTCCGGAAGCAATCTCTTGCTTTGGCTAAACTTTCAACTTGTTTCTTGGTAAACAACTGGGTTTTTCTACCTGATTCTGGTCAAAAGAGATGGGGTGGGACCAGTTGCCCCATCAACAAGGCTTCTTTGCTTGCTATGCTGGACCTTAGCTCATTCCTGCCTGTTATTCTGCTTCATGCTCAAAACCAACAGAATGACACCTTGATACACACAGAGTTCTTGACATCTTGATATCACTTCTGCCTTGGCATAAATGCAAAGGCCTGCCTACTCTACATGTAAAGAGACCTAGTCTGGAACAAGTGAGATGACATACTGTCACACACATCGTCCTGTTTCCTGAGAGCTGTTCTCCAGAGTTGACCTGCCTTGGAAGCTTCTGAAATACTTCAGCCAGACACAGGAGAGGTGAAACTTAAAATTATTGGGAAATCACCCTGGGATAGGAAGAGGACAGTCTTCAAGCCCGAGGACAGGCCTGAGGCAACACACTTCCCCTTTTATCATCTGCTCTCTCTCTGCCCTGATGCCTTATCTGAGGTATGGGTCTGTGGTCAAATGGGCAGGGGACCCAATATGAAAGACATCAGATTAGCAGCTCACTAGCCCTGCATGAGCTGCAGGCCATAAACTGTCTCCGTGAACACGGGGGCTACTGTGCAGGCTCTGCAGACAGGCCTAGTTTGAATCCTGGCTCTATTCTGGACATTGTCAAAGGACCCAAGAACCTTGAGGAGGGAAATGGTAAGGGATAGTGGCTCTGGACTCAGGTACACTCTTGACAAGACTGGAGTGGAGTGCACAACCTACTTGGGGGACATAGGGAGCAAGCAAATGGCTTCTCCATTCTAACTTCATTGCTCTCTGCGGTGAAGTAGGAGTAATGACTATGTCAAACACCAGGGATGGTTGGTATAAAGTTCTCAGCGTATCCTTTGACACACCGTGGGGGCCCCCTGGGGCCTTGCACCTCTACTACCTTCACTGTTGTTACCCTCGTTTCTGGCTTCTGTGGCTGCCTTGTCACTGCCCCCCATGGATTATTCATCTTGGCCACTTTTTATTGGATAATTATTTCCAAAGGGGTGCAATATTTAACAATCTTTATATTCTAGCTTCCTTTTTCTGTTTTATTTTTAAACCCTGAGTTGGGTGAACAATATTAAAAAACACAATGCTGACCAAAAACAAAACAAAACAAAACAAAACCCCCACTGTTGCTTTTACTTTTAAGGATGATCTGGAATGTTCCTTTCTCTATTTTGAGAGACTTTGACTGATTGACTGAGTGAGGTCCAGAATCTTCATCCATCCACTCCAACCCCCAAGGCTCTGCCTAGAGCCCAGTTCACCCCATGATGTCTTCTTTACTTTACTTGAAAGTAATTTGCCTCCATCATGGCTGGCTGCTGATTTGAAGAATGAAGTAATGTCTCTCACTAGTCATGGAGCTTTGGAGAAGCAGGGAAGTGGTCCATTGAGCATCATCAATTGTTGACCATTTAATGTAAGTTACCAGGGTTAATGCCTTCTGCAGATCACCATCATGGACCACTTGCCAGGGCTGGGTCTGGCACTTCATCTGTATTTCATTTAAACTCATAAACAGGTAATGAGACAGCTACTAGAGGCAGCAAGGCCTCCTGTAGTGTGTATAAAAGGGAAAGCATACATGACTAAAGCTACCCTTGAGAAACCTTCTCACATTGGAATAGAGAGCTATGCACATGTGTGAGTCTGTGCATCCCCATATTATAGGCATGTATGTGTATGTACATATGGAACACTGGCTATACTGTGTTTACAGGTTGCCATATTGTACCAATACATTTGTTTTTAGCCTCAGGTCTCACTCACTGTTAAAGACTGTTTCAGTCTATGAGATCTGTTCAGAGTCAAAAACTGAAGGAGGATGCAACAGATTCCCATCTCCTATCCTCAGGGAACACACTCTTTGGCTAAAAATTTGGTAGACTCAATAGCAAATGGAAGAAACGATAGTAGACAGAATATAAAGTGAAAAAGCACAGTGTATGGAAGGCATTGTGCCACCAATAACAACAATGCTTTAACCCTTTTATTTTTACATTTGCCTAGCAAAGGCATCAAAGTGTATGTATGTGCATAAGCCCTTTGTTTTCCTGCCTTGCAGATATGGAAACTAGTTACCTACACTGTCACTGAAGGGACTCTAGTTAGTCCGAACATGACAAACATGGCTCTAGCAGGCCTTGTCCTTTCCCCCCATTGCCTCTGCCTTGCCAGAAACTGTTAGATTACATTCCTAAAGCTAGGTTCACTTCCTCCTCCTGAGGCTGACTACCATTGTCCAGCTATCAAAGTATTGAAATCAAAAGCCCCCTTTGGCTCACCTCATTAACACTCCCAATAAAATTAAACACCTCATCCTAACACAGGGTTTTCCCTTTTACCTTCATAAGCCACATTTTCCTATCGGTCAGGTCTATCTCCTCTCTATCCAGAGGCAGTCATTTGCTCCAGTCTAGGGCAAATATCCTTCCCCTCTCTCCCTTCTCCCTCATCCTCTATTTCTCATTTTTGTCTCTTATTCCCTCCTCTTTGTCCCTCTGGGGTGAGGAAATATCCTTTGTCTTGAGAACTTGGACTTGGGGTGTCCTGAGCTGGTCCCTTCAGTCACTCCATGCCCCAAGGTTACAGTACAGACACATTCATATCAGAAATGTAGATAGTCCTCTGCGTCATCACACCCTTCACCACTCAGAACCTGGCTGCCTCACTCACCAAAACCCACTCACTCATCTTAACATGGAGAAGCAGCTGAAGGTACCTCAGCTTTCAATAAAAACAAACTGGTGGGGAAGGAAGCTGGAGAACATGAAGAGAACATCTTCCTTCCCCCACAGTTCACTAGAGGATGATATTATAGACAATTTTAGGGAACTTTCAAAAGAGACTCTTATCTGTGTAGACCCAGTCATGCGGGAGTGTGGTGTCAAGCTTTGGGTGTCTAGAATTCTAGTGGAAAAAAACTATTAGAACTGGGTTTAAGTCCCCACTTGGTTAGAGTGTCTGGACTACTAGGGAATTATCTCTCTCTCTCTCTCTCTCTCTCTCTCTCTCTCTCTCTCTCTCTCTCTGCATTAAGAGAGCTGGCCTTCCTTGTTTACTTATTTAGAAGTCAGCAGAGGAAGTGGTAAAGGAAACTAGCTGAGCCGTTTTCTGAGAAGAGACCATATTTGTTCACAGGGGAAGCCGCTGCTTCTTGGGATCTGGTTACAGCAGAAACGGTGCCTGTTCAACAAGGGTGTTCCTGAGTGAAGTTGGGATTTGGAAGAGCTAAGGACACCTCAGTGCTCTGGGTCTCTGTTCATGGCTGCAGCAGCTCTCCCCAGCCTGTGAGCTCCCCAAACAGCAGCCATGGCCTTGAAGAATGTGCCCTTTCGCTCAGAGGTCTTAGCCTGGAACCCGGACAGCCTCGCTGATTATTTCAGGAAGGTGAGTCCTTCACTCTTGTGCTTCTGGTTGGGCTCATATGCCTTCAGCAGGGTGGGCAGAGTGGAAGCAGAATCTGGATGGAATATGGAAGGTGTACAAGATAGCTGCAGAGTTACCACCTGCAATTGCTACCTTCCTGGGAGGCAGATTACTAAGTTTATGGGCAGTGTGTCCTGTAGAGAAAGATAGGGAGAGGGCCCTCCAGTGCATAAGCCCCTACTACACACAGGTGTGCATCCAGTGCTCCACAGACTGTCCTTTAAGACACAGTCCAATATAATGTGAGTTCAGTGTTAACATATTAATGTTATGCACTGACAGTGTTGCATCTCAAGATCACTATTTCATTCAACTGAAGTCAGCTTTTGAGTTTAAGTGGTCCAAAGCTCTTGAGTATTACTGGATCAGGTTGGATTGAAATCGTGCCTATTTAGCTTTATAGCACATGCTCTGAAATGCAGGGAATGGTTATGGTGAAGTCTACTTACTAGAAAAGGAGATATGTACTTCTGGGGTAGGAGGGATGGACAAGCAGGGCAAGAGGGGTGGACAGATGGCTAGATGAACAATGGTATTTGGGCATCCATTGTCCATGATCTTGTAAGAGGGCAAGAGTCTCTTTATTTGCTGGAGTCTCACCAGAGCTTTACGAGAATCCTTGAAAGCAGGCCAGAAAAGTAGACATGAGCCCCAGGATAGTTAGGGACACAACAGACAAGCTCAGCAGACTTACAAGTCAAGCTGGACCACAGTGTCCTGCTTCTAGGCTAGGAGGAGATAGTCGAGGGTCCTTGTTCAGTTATCTGCTAATGAGGACCACATATCTGCTTAGGCATATCCTAAGACACCCGACTCCTCTAAGGCACCCATGCAGAAAAGATAAGGGGTCTTATGAAAACAGGAGCTTCTATTGTCCCCATTTCTGCAGGCTGGTCTCACATTCCACTGATATTCCAGGCAGTAATGAAGATGAGGTCCTAAAGCTAAAACCATACAAGTCGTCTACTTTGCCTTCTATTTTTTTCTGAAGAAATGGAGATCCAAGGGGTAGAAAAGTCTCTTTGGGTTGTATAATCAAACATGTAATATACACATTGGTGCCTTCCCAACCTACAGAAGTCTGTACTGGACGAGACATGGTAGGAGACTGCCCCACAGATCCTGGTATTTGCCACTTTTTTGTAAATCTTATTTTTGTTACTTTCTCCCCATAGGGTCATTATAAACTTCTCTTTCAACACAGTGGGTGGAAATATGATGAGACAATTGACTTTTTAAGTATGTTTTAAAGTTACTTTTCTTAACTAAAAATGAAGTAAGTTAGGGCAGAAAGGTAAATTTGCCATGGTGGAGTGAAGCAGTGAATTGTTTCAATAGATCAGTGAGAATGGAATTGAGAGTTAAGGCAGGGAAGTCTGGGGAGGGACCAAGAGGCATAGAAAGGCCCCACATTCAAGTGTAACTAGGATATTATGTAATCCCATGGTGCTACAGATAATGTGTGGGTCAAGTTCCCTTTAGCACAGGCCAAGCAGACACCACTCTGCTTGAGCTAAGAGATGAGGAGGTTTCTTCTTGTTGATCATGGACCTTAGTAAGAGCTATATTCCAGGGACAGGTCTCACCTTCTGGAGGGAAAGACTCAAGGGTAGGAACAAGGAACCTGGGGGTGGGGGGAGGGATTGATGATCCTAGAAGGACCAGCCCCCTGCCACAAACACAGATGAGACTCCGGACCCTGAGCTCATTGGTCCCCAAGAAGATACTCTGTGAAATGAACACAGAGCCACTTAAGGATGCTCTTGGATGTCAGTGTGCCATTTAAAGAATTGACCAGCAAGTGTAATGTCTACATAACATGTTGGGTTGGGCCGCTGAGACTTCTACCCAGCTCTGGAGTCAGATACACCTTAGTTTGAATTGTGCCCTTCCCATCTAGCTTGGGGATTTATTTTTCTTTAATTTCTTTGCTTCTCTTAACCTCAACTTACATAAAATAGAGGTATTAGCAGTAACTAACCAGATGAGATGGAGGTGAGGTTGAAAGGAGATGTGTGTGAGGCATTGAGTTCCATGTTCTACCCCCTTATCCCGATCTTCTAATCAGAATCTGACTGGGAAGGCTGAGACAGGCTGGTGAGGCTTTGTGTTCCTTTTGCCTCAGATACGTGTGTCTTGCCCTGTACTGGGGATGAAAATCAAGATTAAGGCCACAGTCTGCATGTCCCTAATGCCTCCAAGTGGCTTAGGCCTAGCAGGAGAGCAGTCTAGTCCTGGGCTATGTAGTCTAGTCACTGGCTCATAAGCATGTGTTCTAACTCTGTTGGGTTTATGCCTCACTGTATGACCTTAAGCCAGATCCTTCTCTCTCTGGGCCCCAGTTCCTGTCACCTACAAAGCTGAATAACTACTTGGTTAGGGCTAAGATTGGTAACTTAGGTGCTAGTGAGAATTACTTAGGGTGCTTGTTGAAATACAGATTTTAGGTCCAAGACTCAGATCTTGCTGAATTGCATCAACTGACTAGGTTCAAGGCTAGAGCTCTAGCTTTGGTTTAGAGTCAAAACTGGTACTCTGTAGAAATGGCAATCCATCTGATAGTGATGGCAGTGAAATGAATTAAAGGAAGCTGACAATTCCAAAAGCCCACTACACACTGTGCATGTGGGTCAAGGAGACAGCACCATGCTACAGATGCTGCCTGCCCTCGACATTGACCTATAAATCAACTTCCCAAGTTGGTCTTCAGTCTGCCCTTCTAGATAGGTAGGTGACAGCAATTACATTTTAAAATTATTATTATTGTTGAGACAGGTTCTTGGAGTACAGCCCAGGCTGCTCCTGGACTGACAGCAATCCTGTCCTCCTGTCTCATTCTCCTGGGTGCTAAGACTAGAGGTGTGTGCCACCACACCCATATTTGTTTACTTTGCACATTATTTTCGGGGTGGGGGTCATAGATAAGAAATTAGTTTTAAAAGTTCCTCCAAAGAAGGTTGAACTAACTGCTTGTGAGGGCCTCAGAGAAAAATATTTCACCTTAAATCCATTAGATCTCAGTCTTGGAGCTATGTCTGGTGTGAAGTTTTGTGCTATTAAGGACAAGGCAAGGTGGGTGCACCACAGTCATAGATTAACTTTGAAAAATAGCTGACCAAAGCCTTACAAATGCTTGCTTACCTCTGTTACTTTCCATAGAAAAAGTTAGGCAAAAGAATGTCCACTGTGCAGTGTAAGCTACCAGACAGTGCATTTGGATACACCCCTGGTTATTCACTTTAGTGATGTTGCTTAAAAACTATTCCTCATGGAAACTTTAAAGGCAAGTTCTAAAGCTCAGTTGTCACCTGTGTCACCTTCCACCTATGCAAGTTCCTGAGCTCTCTGTGTCTCTTCATCTTTTACACATGAAACTGGAGGATTAAGTGACTTACAGCCGCTTTGGGGTGGGAGCAGGGCCTGCTACACGCAGAGCATCCCATCTGGTGCCAACTAGCAACTGCTGATTTCATTGCTGAGATGGTGGCCAGGGAGATGACTTGAACATTCAGTGGTTAAAAATTATGGGAATTATTTAGTAAATGAGCTCCTCAACAAAACATTTAAAACATGTTTGTCATAGTACCAGATAGTGTTTGTGGTGTCTTTTAGGTCATTTAAGAGAGGAAAAACACTGCTCTAACAAGACTGAAAGTGAGTTGATTCCTCCATCATTTTCAGAAATGGGCTAGGCATAAATGACTGATGTGGTCACTAAGATCACCTTTGGGGACACAAGATGGGGCTGGTGTTTGGTTTCTTCTGTCAGTTCCTTTATGCTTTCCTGACTACAATGTGACCACCCTTCTGGGGCTTTGAAAACAGTGTCTTTCCAGAGGTTATGGTACCAAGGAATAAAGTACATACTTTCTCCATTTCAGACTGTTCCAGCGGGTAGTGAAAGTATGGCTGGGGGGGGGGCCCGGGCCC